TTAAAAAAAAATTAAAGATACCGAACATGACAACAAAATTCTATTATGGACATTGAAAATGACAAAAGATCGCAATTTAACCTCGGCTATTCTTCTTTGACCCAGTTCTGATCAGCATCTCTGCATTGAGCATCTTGACACGCAGACCACCACGTTTGAAAGTAGTGTGGATATTTGTTGAGACTCATTGTGCTTTCCTCTTGGAGCCTTGTATCATGTGGAAGTTGAAGGTCATCTGATGATAGTTTGTCCCACAGGTTCTGGTGGATATCCAGCGTGCCAAGTGTCAGAATGGAGGCTGTGGCACAGTGCGATGTACCTGTTGCTATCCTTCAGAATCGGATCAAAGCTGCCAAGGACCCCAAGCAGACGGCAAAGCTGCAGAATGACCTGGACAAGCTCCTTGAGGTAACTGAACAAATGGGATCTTCCCCATGCAGTACATGTTTTTCCTCTCTTTTCAACAAGTGACTGAATGTTATCATTCAGTGATGGACTGGGTAGTGGTAGAACTGGGGGTTTGCTGCCTAGCTGTGGGTTGTTGACACTGACTCTGCAGTATGGAAATGCTGACACCAGACAACCCTTGACCCAGCAGATTTTTACATGGTTGCCATGAGAAGAGAGAGAAATGGTAGAATCTCAGTCACAGTCAATCCCTTTCGAGGTAGTTGGGATGTAACTAACAAATTCATTACATTACAGACAAGGGAGCTGATCCAGCAGACAGTGCAGGAGATCGTTAAACTGGCTACAGACTCTGAGGAACAGGCTGAACGTATTCTCACAGCTAAACAGCACCTCACGGAGAGGGAAAACTATTACGCAGCAGTGGAATATTTCCGAGTTCAGTGTTTTGACTGGCACAAGCAGAAGGTACGCTGTGACACTGGAATTTAGTGACTGACCAGCAGGAAAACATCCTGCAAATAGGAGGCAGCCATTAGCCTCTCATGTCTGTTCAGTTATTTAATAGGATCTTGACTGATCTGTCTCCTAACTCTACTTGTCCACCATTGCTTCATATCCCTTAATATATTTAAAATCAACAATTGACACAGTATTTGTCAGTGTCAAATTCCTACTATCCTCCGAGTGTAGACGTATTAATTTCACACCTGTAAAGGTTGGCTCTACCTCTTTTTGAGCTTCCTCCCTGGTCCTATGTTCCTTCATAAGTGAAAATAATTTTGCCTCAACTACACCATCTGCTCCCCTTTATTTTATTGAGAAATTTCTGAATTGCAGGACTTGCAACCCTACTTCTGTAAGCTATCCCCTCAATTTAATCCTGAGAGTTCAGGTATTGTAGAGTCATACTGCACAGAAACAGACCCTTTGGTCCAACCATTCCATGTCAACCATAATCCCAAACTAAACTAGTGCCACCTGCCTATGCTTGGTCCATATCTCTGCAAGCATTTCTTTTAAAACTATAAGAAATCTAAAAGCAAATCTAGAAATAAGCCCAAATCTCAGGCGCATCAAGTTGCTATTAAAAAGGAGGTGGTGTTGTGCGACTTAAAAAATATGATGGTAGATGAGTCCCTGGGTCCCGATAGGATTGGCTCCAGAATATTGAGGGAGACGAGAACAAATTGATGAGCATTGACCGACATCTTATTATCCTCATTGGCCACAGGTGAGGTTCCACAGGACTGGAGACCAGCCAATGTTGTCCCATTGTTTAGGAAGGGTAGCAAGAATAGTCCAGGACATTACAGACCTGTGAGCCTTATGCCGGTGGTAGCGAAATTATTGGAAGAGAATTCTCAGGGACAAGATCTGTATCCATATGAAAGGAAATGAACATATTAGCGATAGACAGCATGGTTTTGTGCAGGGAAGGTCGTGCCTTACTAACTTGATTGAGCTTTTTGAGGAGGTGACAATGGTGATTGATGAGGGAAAACCAGTGGATATTGTCTACATGGACTTCAGTAAAGCCTTTGACAAGGTCCCCCATAGCAGACTGGTACAAAAGGTGAAGTCACACGGCATCAGGGTGAGCTGGCAAGATGGATACAGAACTTGCTTAATCATAGGAGATAGAGGGTAGTGGTGGAATGATCCTTTTTGGAATGGAGGTCTGTGACTAATAATGTTCCACAGGGATCGGTGCTGGGACTTCTGTTGTTCATGATCTGCATAAATGATTTGGAGGAAAACACAGCTGGTCAAATTAGTAAGTTTGCAGACAGTACAAAGATTGGCAGGGTTGCGGATAGTGAGGAGGATTGTCAGAGGATACAGCAGGATATGGCTTAGTCATAGGAGACAGAGGGTAGTGGTGGAAGGATGCTGTTTGGAATGGAGGGTTGTGAGTCGTGGTGTTCCACAAGGATCAGTGCTAGGGCCTCTGCTGTTCATGATCTACATAAATAATTTGGAGGAAAACGTGCAGAAAAAAAAAAAGTTAACATTTTGGGTACGGTGACCCTTAGGGGTCACCGGACCCGAAACATTAACTCTGTTTTTTCCTTCACAGATGCTGCCAGACCTGCTGAGCTTTTCCAGCAACTTTTTGTTTGTTGTTTTTTTTTTCCTGATTTACAGCATCTGCAGTTCTTTTGGTTTTTATTGGAGGAAAACGTGGCTGGACTAATTAGTAAGTTTGCAGATGTTACAAAGATTGGTGGAATTGTGGATAGTGAGGACGATTGTCAGAGAAAACAGCAGGATATAGATCAGTTGGAGGCATGGGCAGAAAAATGGCAGATGAAGTTTAATCCAGACAAATGAGAGGTGATGCATTGTGGAAATTATATAGTGAATGGCAGAACCCTTAAGAGTATTGATGTACAGAGGGTTCTGGGCGTACAGGTCCACAGATCGCTGGTGGTAGGGCAGGCAGATAAGGTGGTTTAAAAAAAAAAAAGGCCTTAGCATGCTTACCTTCATTGGAAGGGGCATTGAATATAAGGATGGGCAAGTTATGCTCGTGGATCATAGAATCCCTGCAGTGTGGAAACAGGCCCTTCAGCCCAACAAGTCCACACTGACCCTCGGAGCATCCCGCCCAGACCCACCTAACCCAGCTAATCCCCCTATAACCCACCTAATCTACACCGCCCTGAATGCTACGGGCAATTTAGCATGGCCAAACCACCTAGTCTGCACACCTTTGGACAGTGGGAGGAAACCAGAGCACCCAGAGGACTCCCAAGCAGACATGGGGAGATTGTGCAAACTCCACACAGACTGAGGGTGGAATTGCACCTGGGTCCCTGGCGCTGTGAGGCAGCAGTGCTAACCACTGAGCCATCATGCCACTTTATACAGCTTTAGTTAGATCACACTTGGGATATTGTGTATAGTTCTGGTCACCACACTACCAGAAAGATGTGCATGCTTTGGAGAAGGTACAGAAAAGGTTTACCAGGATGTTGCCTGATATGGGGAATTTTAGCTATGAAGGAAGGTTGGATAGACTAGTTGTTTTCACTAGAATGCAGGAGGTTGAGGGGCGACCTGAAAGAAGTTTATAAGATGATTGATTTGATTGATTTATTTATTGTTATGTGTACAGAAATACAGTGAAAAGCTTTGTTTATGAGCAGTGGAGGCAGATTACAGTAAGCAAAGGATGTCCAGATCGAAAAGACTTCGAGTCAGGCATTCAGGTTAGATCGCACAAGGTGTGCGCTAGGCAAGATCACCATTAGCAAGATCAGTGTTACTTGAGGCTAGAGAGCCCATTCATCAGTCTGATAACAGCCAGGAAAAAGCTGTTCCTAAACCTGCTCACGTGTGTGTTCAGGCTTCTTGATCTTCTGCCTGACAGAAGAGTTGTAGGAGGTCATTACCAGGTGCAATGGGTCTTTGATTTTGGCAGCCTTTCCACAGCAGCGAGCTGTGTAAATGGAGTCCATGGCTGGAAGATTGGCTTCTGGGATGGTCTGGGCTGTGCACACCACTTCTATAGTTTCTTACGGTCCTGGGCAGAGCAGCTGTCATACCAGGCCGTTACACACCCGGACAGTATGCTTTCAATGGTGCATCTGTAGAAATTGGTGAGGGACGTTATGGACACGCCAAATTTCCTGAGCCGCCTGAGGAAGAAGAGGCGTTGTTGTGCCTTCTTGACTGTTGCATTTACGTGGGAAGTCCAGGACAGGTTGTCAGTTATCGTCACTCCAAGGAACTTGATGGTCTTCATCCTCTCAACCTCAGTTCCATTATGTAGATGGGGGCGTGTTCTCCTCCTTTCTTTCTGAAGTCAATTGTCAGCTCTTTAGAGATAGTAGGAACTGCAGATGCTGGAGAATCTGAAATAACAAGGTGTAGAGCTGGATGAACACAGCAGGCCAAGCAGCATCGGAGGAGCAGGAAGGCTGACATTTCGGGCCTAGA